AAAATTGTATTGGATTTTACATATGTTTCGTCTGCTGTATAAATAATAAATAATAAAACATTTACAACTATTTTGCAACGCTACGCACGACCTATCAACTATATCAAATTGTATATATAACTCCGTATATAAATATGTCCTTTTGCTAAAAATTATTTCTTGTTTATATTATTATAGTATTAATTAATGTTATCATTAATAATCAATTAATTATATTTAATATTATAGGTATTAATATTATTTGCATCATACTCTCGTTTCGCTCGTATTTTTAGGGCATTAGACTAATTGCATTAAAGTAGTAATAACTGCGGATTATCAACTTGCTAGCGGCGTGTGTGTTGGCGTATGTGTGTGTGTCTTCTGTGTATGTGTGTTAGATAAAGATAATCTGAAGCATATATGCTAGTAATCTATTATCTAATTGTACACACTATATCATAATCATCATGTGTTTCTGTGTATTTCATTATGTACAACTATCTGGATGCTGGCTCTGCTTGCGCTTCGATTTTGGCTCCTTGGGATGCTGCTCGATGGAGGGACGACGCGGATTCCCAAGCGTGACTAAAGCGCTCGCCACGGCCAGCCCGGCCGACTGACCGGCAGGTGCTTGCGGTAGGCCACCTATGGGATAATGAACAGAATAATTTAGTTGATAAGTTAGCACATGATTTGATTGACTGCTGCATTGATTGATTTACATTGTACGTATTAATATTGTGATAATGATAGATTGTATATATAATCAAAATTTTACAAATTTTAGTTTTCAATATGAAAATTAACAAGAGGAAACAACATATCCTACTACATATATATTACAAATTAACAAATATTATATAAATATCGGCTATGCCTTGCTCTCATCTATACTAGTTACACACCCGTGGGCAGCCGGACTAGAAGCGAGAGCACTGCGGCTCGATTGCCATTGCAGGGCTCCAAGGCAATTGGACTGGGACACTCCTGCAAGAGAGAAGCGTTAAATATGCGCACTCTGAATACTCTAACAACTCGCCCACTCACCTTCTTGCGTTTCTTCGACATGTTGGCAATGCCCTCCAGCGTCAGGCTCAAGTCGATTGTGTCGCGTGGCTCAATGTCAACCAAAACCTTAGGGATAGGTAAATTTAATAGATTTGAATTACAGGGTATTTCGGGCTGCGTTACCTGTGAGAATGGTCGACTGGCCATTTGCTCCATTTCGACAAAGAGACGCTGGCGCCGGCGAAACATATCGTACTTCTGCTTGATCTTCCACAGCACGGCGGCCATGAGCAGGAGCAGCAGAAAACAGGATGAGAACGTTATGAAAAATTGCTGTAGATTGAGCTTGGGATACTGTGAGAAGGCAATTTGGATCCAGATCGGCGGCTGGAAGTCATGCACAAAGACATAGAACGTCGTTAGCGAACTGTTGTCGTCGCTCGACTGGCCAAATTGATATTCGGTCTTGGGGAAACGATGCCGGAATGTGGAGCAGTTGATGCCAACCAAAATGAGGCGCTCCGGCATGCCGGCCCGCTTCACCGATATATCCATCTTGGCTGGGACGCTGCACGTGATGGTGAAATCGGCATCGATTTCGGGCTTCGCCGGCGAATTGCGGAAATTGATTTGGGTGAAGTGGCGATCCTCCTTCTTGGACAAGTTGAATGTGAACTGATAGTCGATGGTGAGCTCGTAGTAGCAGGAGCCGCGCAACGGGTCGCCTATATAGTGATTCTGCGAGTCGCACTTCTCGCAATGATCCCCCACAATGCCCTTGGTGTTGCAGTAGCACTTGCCCGTGTCCGGGTGACAGTAGTCGCCCTGGTTGTTGCACTCGCAGCGCTGGCACTCGCCGCCATTGATCGCATTGCCCCAGTAGCCAGTGCGGCATTTCTCGCAGTGTGCACCGATCGTCAGATTGCTGCACGGCTGCTCGCAGTGCTCCTGATCATTGCACGATGAGTGACCGTTGCAATTGCAGCGTGGACAGGACGTAAAGAACCAGTGGTTCAATGC